AGAACCAAATTTCGTCTTGATCAGGTCAAAACTTATCTGAATGTGACGAAACTTTGTGAATGTCCTTCGGGTATCCCAAACTACCCTTTTCATGCCTTTCAAAGCCGCTCTAGTCTTTTTTTCAAGGTTGCCCAGTTTTAGGCTTATTTTGCAATGTTCCCTTGGTCTGACGATGTCTTGGGTACCGACAGGACCAGGTTATTACTAGCTCTCTTCTTATTTGTACCAAGGATGTAAGTACATAAAAAATGACGTATAACAGCTGTATGATTTGAAGAGATGGGTGTTATTGACATTATTAGGAATACTTGGAGTAACATTGTTGTTCTTGGATGGGTGGGTTATAGAATTTTTAAAAAGTTGATGGTTGTCAAACGTAAACTGTTGAAACGAACGAAAGAAAACAATTATAGCATCAAAGCTTGAATGGTGGAAACAAATCTCTATAATTAGGACATTAATGACCTGGTTAATGTTAATCGGCAGCCCACAGCAAAAGTGATGGGAGAAGACCTGAATTGATTAATTCCTTACATGATTTGATGAGAATGGAGGAAATGTATTGGAAACAAAGATCTAGAGTGAAATGGAAGGCGATTTAAATACAAAATTTTCCATGTTATTGCTAATACAAAGAGTAGACAAAATGATATCTCAAGCATCATATTTCAAAGTGGTAGTGAGGAGGATCGAAAAAGTTGGGAGATGGAATTTATTAACTATTTTCAAAAGGGTTTTTAAACTGAACTTCCTTTTTCCAAGTAGATTTTGAGGGTGTTCCTTTTAAAAGGCTTCCTCAAGCGACCGCTAGAGATTTGGAAAGATTGGTGGAATTGGATAAGCTTAAACGGGCAGTCTTTGCATAGTTAGGGGATAAGGATCTAGGGCCACACAGGTTTCCTTTAGTCTTTTTCCATAGATTATGGCCCTTGTTAAAGGAAAAGTTGTTGTTGATGATTAATGAATTTTTGGAAGATGGAATTCTAAATAAGGGTATTTATTCAACTTTCATTGCTTTAATTCTCAAGAAGTCCATAATTAATGTGATAAATGATGTGTGAGACTGATAAGCTTGTTGTCGACCTTATATATCATTTTTAAAGTGTTGGTAGAGAGATTGAAAAAGTTCTTATACCTTCGCATTTTTTGGACCCAAACTGCATTTATTGGTGGAAGAATGATTATGGATGGGGTTTTGATTGCTCAATAATGCACCCACAATAGGGTTCAAAGCGAGAGGAACCGAGTATTTTATCAAACTTGATATAGAAAAGAATTAAAGATCGTGTGGAATGGAAGGTTTTGGATGAGGTCCTTCTATGTATGGGGTTTTGGTACTATTAAGAGAAAATGGATTAATGGTTATTTATCATCTGCTCATTTTTCAATTTTGGTGAATGGTAGTCCAAAATGCTTCTTTAAAACATCAAGAAAAATGAGACATGTAATCATCTTTCAGCTTTTTTATTCACTCTTATTGGGGAGGCTTTCAGTTTGATGATAAAAAATGTGGAAGGCAAACAATGTTTTAGAGGTTTTTAGGTGAGTTCGGAGGTCCTACATATTTCTCATCTTCAATATGCAGATAATATAATTATTTTTTGTGGGGCAAAATGCGATTAGTTGTTAAATATCATAAGGTTTTTGAGGTGTTGTGAATTGGCCTTGGGTTTCAAAGTTAACTTTGCTGAAACTTCAGTTGTGGGAGTTGGTTGTGATGGAGATGTGGTTAATATTTGGTTGTGGTTATGGATTGTAGGTGGAATCCTTTTCAATCAATTTACTTAGGGATGCCCATATTAGACTCGCGGGTAACTAAGGATGTGAACGATCGTATTGTGAAGAAAACGAATATGAAGCTTGACCTTTGAAAAGCGAAGCATTTATCATTTGGAGGAAGAATTCGCTCATTAAATCTACCCTTTCTAATCTCCCCATTTACTAAACGTCTTTACTGGTGATGCCTTTACCTATTATCAAAAGGATTGAACAATTGATGATGAACTTCTTATAGGGGGCCGATGATAAAAAGAAAAAATTTCATTTAGTGAGATGGGATAGAGTATGTACTCCAAAGAAGAAAGGTGGATTAAGTACTCATAAACTCAAATTAGTTTATCAAGCATTAATTACCAAGTGGGGGTGGAGGTCGCTGAATCCAGATCAGCAGCTTTGGAAAGATATTTTGGTGGATAAATATGGCATTGATCCCCTAAACCAATTTATTGCTAAAAGGAAACCTGCATATCAGCAATCCCATTTGTGGAAGTCTATTCTTTCTATGTGTTCTTTCATGATTAGGCATACAAGGTGTTCAATGGGAAGGAGTGATAATATTCCTTTTTTGACACCAAAAGTGGGCTTATGATGAGGCATTGAAGTTCTCTTATCCAATGTCAGATTCTCTTCAGAGTCTTCTTTGATTTGGTGAGAAAAATGAAGCAATTCGGTGTTTCGGCCGATTCAGGGGAAAACTTCGGATTTTTAAAATTTTAATATAAATAAGTTAGATATTTATATAATATGTAAAAACAATGAAAAAATTAAAAAAAATAGATATTTATATATATAATATATAAAATTAATGGAAAAATAAAAAATAAAATAATTAAATTAAAAAATTAAATAAAAAAATAAAAAAAATAACTTTTATATAGGTATTTCTTTTCTGACCGAAGCAGCCCGAAGCATCGGCCGAAGCAGCCTGAAGCTTCGGCCGAAGCAGACTCGAATCTGATCGAAGCAGCCCGAAGCGGCCCTAATATGACCAAAAAAGTAACACCGCACTTCTCTTTGCTTCTGTTTATGCTTAAAATTCGAAGGCTTTGGCCTCTTCAGCCGAAGTGAAACGAATTTGATAACATTGCTCCTATCTAGAACCATTGCACAGTTGTGCTCAACTAATGGCAAAGGTAAGAGAGGTTGAGCAGGCTAATGGTAATTATGTTTTTAGGAATATTGTGTGCCACTATAATTGTATTATGCAACCTACTTTTCAGTAGTTGACTAAGTTGTTAAAGGTGTTTGAGAACAACCATATTTCCAATTCGATGAATGATGAGGCAATATGAGAGCTAGAATCAAGTGGATTTTTTTCGATGAAATCAGCATACTCTTTATTATTTTATGATTGAATTAGATGAAATCAGTCAATGTTACGAATATATGGAGGTGGCAGATACCACATATGGTGCATGCCTTTATTTGGGTAATGATACAAAGCAAAGCTCCAACAATTGATAATCATAGAAAGAAGGGGAAAATCCTCATCAAAGTATGGTTGTTTTATAAAAATGATGAAGAAAGTGCTGCACATTTATTTCTTCACAGCCCTCACATATGGTGTTGGGCAATGCAAAAGGTTGGAGTTTCTTTGGTCCTTAAAATTTTCTGCATAACATTTTGAACCATCTCAAGTTAGTGGGAGTTCCTAAAATTGGGAGTATGACTTTGGATATTCTTTGAGGAGAAATTATATGGGATTTGGAAAGGAATAAAAGGATTTTTTTAATGAGCTTCTTTGGAGATGCAAGGCATTAAAAACATAACATAGAGCTTGGAGTTGATTCAACATCACTAAAGAAGGCTATGGTGTTTTTTTTTTTTTTTTTGACCAACATTCAATAATTTTATTGATAACTTAAAATGAAATTACATCGTCAGAAATAGTAAAAGAACCAAAAGAAACGCCGCCCTTTATTAATGTATCAGCAACACCATTAGCTTCACGGTAAACATAAAAAAAAGATATAGATATAGAAGCAATAGCATCCATAACCTGCAACCATACAGATCGAAGTTTCCATGGTATTTTTTGCTCCTTCTTGCACCACCTAATAATATTCAGAGAGTCTCCTTCAATTAAACAGCTGGTCCCCAAGCTCCTTTCTATGAAAATATTTATACCCCTAAGCAAGGCACTTAATTCCTCAAAATTAGCAGTGGCAGTACCAATTGGTCCTGCATAGGATACAACAATATTTTCAAAACAATCACGAATAACACAACCAATACCAGCAGGGCTCGGATTCCCAAAAGAGCTCCCATCAAAATTTAGTTTCAGACAACCCATAGGTAGAGCAAACCAAAATCCCTTAGGCCGACATCTACTCACACCCAGATAAAGCAGATTAGAGAGATTTACCATCACATCAACTTTTGAGATCCCCTATCCCTCTTGGACACCGAAAGACTTGACCAAATAGAAAATTTAATTACATGGTGTTTTTAAGATGGATGTTGAACTCAATACAACTAACTTTATCTCAATGCAGTATTACCGAGATGTATATGGCAGCCACCTACAACAGGAAGTTTTGAAGTGAATTTTGATATATCATCCTTGGATAATCCAAGGATGGCAGGTATAGGCAGGATATGAGATAATGGGGCAATGTTATCTTTGCTTTGTTGGTCGATGTGGGATTGTATCTGCAAATCATGCCGAGTTGGTTGCTCTTATGAAGGTTTAATGATATGGAAGGAGAAATGTAATGCTGAAGCTTTGGTTATCGAAGGAGATTCACTTAATCTCATCAATGGGTGTAATAAGGCGTCCAAACCACCATGGCAACTTGAATCTCTTAGGCTACAGATAATGGATATAGAATTATCTTGATTGGTCAGTTTTAACCATGTGTAAAGAGAGGCAAATGACATTGCTGATACGTTGAACAAGAAAGGAGCCTTGCTGGATTCATTATTAGTCCCTTTGTATTGTTTTGAGTTGTTTTGAATTATGAGATGTCATGCTATTTTAGTTAGTGAACTGAGCCCCGCTGAATTCATTATTAGTCTGTTCGTATTGTTTTGAGTTGTTTTGAATTATGAGATGTAACACTATTTTAGTTCATGAAAAGCAAGTAATTTTGTCAAAAAAAAAAAGAGAGATCATTTATTTTTAATAAAAGTACAATTCGGGTGGTTTGGAATGTGTCCTTGACTAGGCTCAAAAAAAAATCTCAAACACTATGACACACCAAACCGTACAAATTGACATCTGATGGCTAATAGCAATTGTGATTTACAAGGTTAAGTAATCCCGAAAGAGAAAGGGGAAAAATATGAGAAGGGAATGTACTCCACAAAATAGCGATGACAAAATAAGGTGCATGATAGGTCTATGGATCATCTGTGGGAGTTGATGGATAGTGGGGTTAAACAGTACTTCTCGGGAAAATGGAGACTATAGTACACAATTTTCTCCATAACCCAAAAACCTGGTATATCATGGACCATACACAACCGGCGTAGTATTATATACTTCCCCAATAGAAGAATAACGAAGCAACCCCACCTCCTACCGACTCCAAGCCATGGAGTAAGTGTGGAGTCTGTGCGCTAGGAAACACCAAATGTTAATGATGGAGAGAGCCAACAACCACTCACCAACTACAATTCACTTAATTAATTATTTTAAAAACTAAATTCATTGCCAACAACTCCTTGCTTTTAATACATTATAAGCCAAATCCCCTTCCCCTCCTCCTCCTCCCCCCTCAACTTTTGTAGAAACTCCCAGAAAAAGTAACATATATCAGCTGCAGGAATGATTCTCCGTCTCTCTATCTCTATATGTGCTACTGTACAGCTAGCGATCAAGACTATTGCCTCAGGTTTTACAATAATAGAAAGAATGGTAGAAGTAAAAAAGGATGTAGTAAACATATCACCTTCCTCAGAAATTAATTGTTTTGCTTTTGTCAACATCTTCATGAGAACAAGATGAAATGGTACTTCTTGGATCCAAACATACCCCGCCCACACCAATGGCAAACTAGAACAAAATAACCTCCAATGTAGTCCAATGGTCATGTAGATGGTCTGATGAAAATGTTCAAAGAATCAGAATATATGGTATCCGAAGAACTATAATACTAATATGAAGTATGAACCAGTAGTTCTCTAGACAACAAGCTGATTAACCAACACTCATACATCAAATTTATTTGGGTAAGCTGATACATGAACAGTTTACACAGCAGATAGTAAAAATCTAATTTATTCCAAATTTATTGATTATACTGATTAACTAGAAATTTATTGATTATACTGATTAACCAGTGATATGTTTACACCATAAGAAGTTGAGCGCAATATTTAGACTACATCAGGAAGCACAAGGGCAAAGTTCTGAAATCAATGTACCTGCCGATTCCATCGGCCTGCAATATGCTTCTGATGGAGGTAGGTCCATCTACTCTAGCGGATACCAATTCTGCTGAATTTCCTTGTCTTTGTATTTTGTTAGAATGAATTTCAATATTCGCTCTAGGTAGAGGCGAGATCTCTGCAAGTGGATTAAGAACAAGACCACCCTTAACTCCTCTAAGCGTTTTGTCATCCCATTTGGCCAAGTCAAGTCTTTCTCTCTCTTGCCCAACACATGGCCCACTATCGGGTAAGAGAAGCCTAGTAGCAGTGGGAGAAGAGTATCTACTTTCTGGTTTTCTCCAAAACTTTGCACTGAGGAAATCAGCACCAGGAATCTTGCAACATTTGTTTCCCCCAATTTCCATGTTTGGAACAACCCTGCCTGATGACAGGGCTAAGTCATGCGAGATCTCATCCAAAGCACGCTCAAGGCCATGCACCCTCGTCTCTAATGAATGCATCCCGTTCTTTGAGCTACCCATAAACTTCTGCAATAGGGAAAGAAACTGTGAATTTAGGCATAGAAACCTCCTAATTCCCCAGTGCATATGTTAGTACCATAGCATCCACATACAAAGAAAACTGAATGTCTAGAGAATTATCTATGATTCATGTTTACTACTCAAAACACATCAGAACAAGTGCAAGGTTGCTACTTACGACTGACTTGGCTTTCTTTCTTGATTCCTAATTCATATATAAATATGTGAAAACCAAGAAACACAATTAGAAATCCTTTCAGAGGGAATAATGATGCCACTTTTAAGCTTAACTAAGAGAGAGGCCATCATTGAGCTTGAACTTACTTAGTGAGATAAGTTTTCAGGATTTTAGGGCACGTTTGTTTCCTGTGAAATTATTTTTTAGAAAATATTTTCACGTGAAAGCATTCCCTCATGTGCTTCAGTGTGGGACTATTTTCACACCAATTGGTCCCCGTGCATCTTTTCACACCAATTGGCCGCTAATTGGTGTGAAAATATTCCCAAACTGTTCTACATAAGAGAATTTTTTCACGTGAAAATATTTCTCGAGAAATATTCAAGAAATATTTTCAGGCATCATGCAAACCAAACGTGCCCTTAGCAAGGGGAACAATGTGGAGCTCAAAATTAGATCACCATTACATTTGCATGACAACCCATATATACAAAAGTTAGGAAGTTGTGATCATATATATAAGCGGCTGGACTTATTAGCTGCTAAGTTGGTCACTCTGTGCATATATCCAGCAGACTGCAAGGATCTGGGAATCCAATTTCATATTTTTGAGATCAGAAAAAGCCAAAACTTCTACACTACCAGCATTCATGGCATGCCCACACTCCAATACATTACAAGGAAATGTATGGACGCATGCTTATGTGTTTGTAATCAGTGCGTAAAGGAAAAGATGGAAACTGGGCAGACATACATCCAGTGTGTACATTGGAATCAAATGAGCACACACTGCATATGTGATGATTAGACTATTCCTTGTAATCTAATTTTAATAAACCAAAAATAATATATCAGTGGATACTAGCTACATAAACTCCCAGATTACATGGTCATGATGCAACATTTCTTGCATGCCGATACTTCAGTACAGACAATCAATCCTGCTATCACAATTCTATTATTAAAAAATAATTATGTTGGACCCAGCTAATTCACCCACAACAGGAGCTAAAATCCAATTATCCATAAAATGGAGCGCAAATCTGAGAGTAACTTGGTGAGCCTATTCAGAGGATTTCTAAGTGGAATATCATAGTACCATCTTTCTTCTGTGTCATGAACATTCAACTAATTGTGCTATCAGGCATCAACAGGTAGCTTACCAGACTGTCTCAAACAAAACCATGACAAAGGAAAATCAATTTGCAGGAAAATCAATTTGCAGACATAGGTCCAAGAGATGTCACTTCCTAGGATTTACAGAAAGAATTTTTGTCTGGATTGAAAAAGAAATTTCTACCAAAATTCTTACCACCCATAAACCAAAATCCTGCTCTCAACCCAAAATTAACTACTCGAGGTATTGCAACTTTAATCAATGCACCTCCAAGATATAAGTCAGAGGAGCAGCATGCACAACAAAGACACAGCCTCGATACTTCAATGAAAACAGAATCATAATTACCACATAACAACCTAAACCAACTCTAACAGCAGAAATAAACTCTCTCTTCAAATCCAAAACAACCAATAACAAGTCATAACTCTCAAATAATTATGCACAAACAACATTGTACAAAAATTGTTGCAGTGCTTTCCAAATACTGCCATGGCATGGAAGCCAAAGCAAAATGAATGTCAAGTATGTGTAAAGAGAGTTGTACCTGGAGAAGATCCAACAAACTGGTTTGCTGGTTCTCAATATGAACCAGTTGCTTGCGAATCAGAGAGAGATCACTTTCCTTATACACCTGTTCAACTGTGTCACTGAAGCCAACAGTAGCCCACCCAATAGAACTTTCCTTCTCATGCAGAGGGACAACCCGTGAGGTGCCCCTCAACCCACCAAATTTGTGTGCCTTCTCCTCGACAGTTCTCTCACTCTTCTTGTCATGCTTTGGATGCCCATTTCCAATCTCCCCATCTTTCATATCCTTACAGACCGCACCCTTACCACTCTGAGGATCATCTTTGCTAACAACTGTAATGGGTCGGGATTGAGGAACTGCAATCTCTAACTTCCACTCTGACATTTTCTTGCGATCCAGCTTTTGGAAAATAGAAGGACTGCATCTCTTGTCACCCAGTGGGGTCCTTTTCTTTGAGCCAGTGACAGATGAGCAATCAGGAGGACTCCTACTTGAAGCAAATCCTGTCTTCTTTCTTATTTCATATGGAAACCCCTTAACCGGCCTCTCAGAACTATCCAAACCAGTTGTGCAGTTTGTATTGCTGTCATTTTCTGTTAATAGACATAAAAGACAATATCTTAAAACTTGAGTGTGAGAGAGAGAGAGGTAGGGAAGCAAATCCTGTCTTCTTTCTTATTTGATAAGGAGACCCCTTAACAGGCCTCTCAGAACTATCCAAACCAGTTGTGCAGTGAATAGTGCTGGCATTCTCAGTTAATAGACATAAAAGACAATTTCATAAAAATTGAGTGAGAGAGAGAGAGAGAGAGGTAGGTTGAGTTTGGTAATCCTTCATCGAAAGAAAAGGGTAATAAAAGCTGTTTTGGGAATAAGAGAACATTTTAAATTTCAAAATAATATGCAAAGCAAAGAGAACAGCCCAATGTTCCCAATTAATGTGCAAGCGTTTGCTTGGTGAAAGTAACGTGGTAGGGGAAAAAGAGCAATAAAAAATTGAATTCCCAGAAATTTATATAGGGACGGATTGGGACCACTAAAACAAAACCCATATTAAAAGCAAAAAGCAGAAACAGAATACATCCATGTGACCTTGAAAAATGCCAGTCATAAATACAGATCCAAATGGTATGAGAACCCATAAGAAAATGAAATGCAAGCTAGATGGGGACCATTTCTTCGATAGTTTAACCACATCCTCAGATATTGATAGGGCCAATAAGTTTTAGAAAACTTATTGTTTCGACATCTCTTGAAAAAGAGCCGCAACATACATATCAAAAATAGGAGACCATCAGGTATTAGCAATGCTAATAATAAAAAGAAGAAAAAGTATCATCATTTCTGAAGGAAGTGCATAACTAAGGACATGAGAGCAAAAAAATCACTAATTATAACCAAATAAGGAGAAGAAACTCTCAAGAGCCAAACAGTGGTACCTGTTATACATGAAATTTTCGTTTCAGAAGCTGGAGATTCCTCTGATTCAGGAACTTCACTCCAAGCTTCCAATGCCTGAATCACAGAATCACGAACCAGCTTCACCTGTACCAAAATAACAGAGCACAAAAATGTCGGAGTCCAAACATATCAGATCAATGATAAATTCCCATAGAAAAGATCCAAATTCAACAGGAAACTGAGAGGAAATAACAATATAGGTGAAGTCAGAAAGAAAAACATGCATTCAATAGAAATAACTTAAACAATAAAATCTCGATCAGGAATCCTAAATTCAACATTAATCTAAATGAATAAACAATAAAAACAAACTCGAAGAGGAAAATATAAATTCAACAATTTAGCTTATTCAGGTAGAAGAACAAATATCAAGTATCATCAAATGAGGAAGAAGAACCAAATTGATTCAGTCCAGTCCGTACCTTATCAAAACGACGTGATTCCAAAGAAGCAACACAAGACTCTTTATAAGTCTTTAAGGCCTCTCTCTCACTAAGAGCCACACGAGCCAGGGCCTCCACTGAAGCCTTCCTCGCTTGCCAATCCTCGCTTTTCAAGGATTCTCTCATTGACCCAATCACCATGGCCATGAGATGTGCCCTGGATGCCCCATTTGCTAAAACTACACTGGCTAAAGCACCTATCAATGCCGGTTTTGCTTTAAAGGCTTTACATCCCAAAAGCTTCACCATTTTAGGTAAGAGCTTCTGTAAAACCTCAGGCTGAGGATCAATGGAGGAATCGACAACCCTAGCAAAGCAATGAGCAGATCCAGCCTGCAAATTCTGGTTCTGCTCGGTCATGGCCTCCATCAATGGCTTCAAAAAAACAGTTATTGAAGGCTGAGTGATCTTTGAGGCCATGATTCCCATGGAATCGACACAAGCCGATCTCACACTGGAATCCGAGTCTCTAAGCCTCTTGATCAAGTTTCCAACCATTTTTGGGAGATGAGAGCTTAGAGCATTACGATGAGTCTCAGCCATGGTGCCTAATATCCTCGGACACTCACGTCTTGCAGTGCTCTTCTGATCTGAATCAGTGTCATATATGCAGGCTAAGAAAGGGGAAAAGCACTCACCATTCAAGCTTTTTGCCATGGAGTCCAGATCTGATGCAGCCATTTGAAAGGTATCTCGATCCGAAAGCTTATTTAGGGATGAGATTGCTCGCTGTTTCATGTCACGAATGGCTTGTTGAGGACTCTGGGATAGCCGGGATCCCGCGGGTCTCGCCATAAAAGAATCTGATTCCAGCATTGTAACAGAGAAATCTTCACAGGGGTCACTATGTGTAGAGCATTGTCCTGCAGTTTCCGTGCCAAAAAAACCAGATAATCCACCGAGAAATTACAGTGTCTAAATCATCTCCCATTCAGTTTAGTGATAGAACAACCAGAGAAGATAGGGGAGGAGAGAGAAAGAGCGAGGGATCAAAGACAGAGGGGGCCAAACTTACTTCAATGGCGGAAGAGGGATGAGAAAGAAGCACAAAGTTCCTTCCGTGGTATGAAAGAGAGAGAAGCACTAGGCTTCTTCAGTGTTCTGTGAGAGAGAGAGAGAGAGGAAGAGAGAGAGAAGCGCAAAGCTTCTTCTTCTTCACTGGCACGGCCACCTTGGTCGAGTGTCGTCTTTATAAAGGAAGCGCTGGCATGGCAGGCTTTTACATCTCTCCCTCTCTCTTCTCATGCAAAGTAAGTATCGAGTAGCGAACCGCCGGATTTTTACCGTAAACCGCCCATGTTTTTACATTGATTCACGTGTCACTGGGAACCACGTCGCCGGTAAATCTCTTCTGCCGCCACTTTCCGGTAAAATATAATTAGGTAACTAACGCAATAAGTTGACAACAGTCGGACTAAATTGTGAGAAATTTTCGCGAGTAACCCCAAAATATTCTTTAGTACGGTCATCGCAGACACTGTCTAGAACGGTTTCTGGCAATGGGCCCAGCGGCCCGCCCTGAAAGAGTTTGGTCCAATTGCCCGGCCCTATGTTTTTCTTGTTTTCTATTTTTTTCTCATTTATTTTTGGAAAAGTCTTTCGTGCGGGCTGGACCGTATTTCTACACATGCGGTGCAAAAAGTGTAAAGCATCCATATTAAAGATAGATACAAATAGGTATTCCATTTAAAAGCAATAGAGACTTACGGTCCAAATATTTTTTTATTAAAAGTATTATTTTTAATTTTTAAAATTTATTTATTTATTCATATTCATAATCTCTTTGTTAAAGATTACATGTCCTTAAAAATTAATTCTTAAAATCCATCTCAAAAATAGATTTATTAAGAAGCCCGTATTTCTACATATGCAGGCTTGGCCGCATAGAAACCTAGTCCTTTATTTTTTACCGAGCCCGGCACAATCTCAACTAGAATGAGGTCAAGCCTAAGCCGGCCCCATGGGGATAAGATCCGGGCTAGGGCCGAGGCGGGCCCGGCCGATTGTGACCCTTATTCTTGGATTATTAGGTGACAGCAATTGTCCCTCCATCACCGTCCAACCTGTTGCTGCTACGATGCACCATATGACCATGGTGTTATAGGGGTCATGTGAATCATAGTGTACTGTCCATTTACCGAATTTGTTAAGGTTCGGTGAAGGAGATTAGGTGGGAGATGAAGGGACAATTTGGTCAACTAATTTTGTAACTTCCGCTCAACTACCGGGGTGAAAAGGAACGCGCGGGTCGCGATCCCGTGAGGTGGTGTGTATGTGATCAACTGGTTGCGGGTCCACCATATTATGATATCTTAAGATTATATATCGAACATTTTTATGCGTAAAAAGCAAAGAAAAACGAGAAGACAGCCTTAATTTAAGGAAGAAATGAGGGGCATGTATGATGAAACGGTGCATGACGGACGGTTAATGCAAAAGCGACGAGAGAAAGTGCAGTAACTTAAAACCCTGAAAAGAGCCCCGTGAGTTTCGCCTGGTATGACATGGAGGAAAACCTCCTAATAAACGCACGACGAGAAGGTTCATTTCACCTTACGGAGTTGTCACTCTTTCGTGTACTATGTACATGGTATCTATGGAGGGATGATTCAGGTCTACGAAAGCCCAAAACAATCCAATTTTCATGAATTTTGAGTTTCTTTTTATTTTAAATTGAATTTTGAGTTTCTTTTTATTTTAAATTTTATACGAGTGTTCGTAAAATCTAATTGGAACGGTTAACTAGACATGGAGCTGGAAGTGGTTTAACCAACCTAATCGGTAAACCTGTCGATTCAACCATTCTAACCGAACAAGTCCCGGCGATCAAAAAAATTGTTCAAAAAAAATAAAAAAGATACAAAAACTTTACTAAAACATGAAAAGCATATAAAGAATGATTAAAAAAACATATTCAAATGAAGTTTAAAATTAATAAAAAAACTGGATTTTAAATAATCGATTTGTGTCTAGGGATATTTTAAAAAAATTTAAAAGAAGATGGAAAAATATAAAAAAGTGAGTATTAATTACCAAAACAATTTTTAATCTTTATCATATTGTAAAGAATATTAAAAGATGTATTACAAACCAAATTCTTTATTTTTGGTACTTTATATACTTCTTTTTTTAAAAATACCAGTTGATCACCAAAACCGCCCAAAGCATGAACTAGCTAGGGGCTGGTTCTAGGTGGTTACCGGTTAGATCGCCTGGTTTTTCTAACATTGGTTGTACCCAGGCACACCAAACCAGAGCAGTGAAATACAAACGTTGAATTTGGAAAAATCCAATTTTTAAGGGATGGCAATGGACCTGAACCCGACTGGGATCCACAGGTTGACCCAATCTGGGTCCAGATATGGGTCCACAAATTTTACTTGGTAGGTTGGGTCCGCGTCCAAATCTTGGACCCGAACATTATTCGGGTTTGGGTCAAGGTTCAGGTCTGGTAATATTTTTTGGGTCCCAATATAATACTTTAAATATAGTTAAATGCATAGATATTTTAATTTTTGGGTCGAGTGCGATTAGACCAGGGTCTAGGTTCCAAAACTATATATTTTGAGTCTAGTTCGGCCGGATCCAAACCAGACTCAACCCGTTGCCACCCCTACAACTTTTTAATAGCATGATTTCATCGAATGTTCCATAAATCGGTAGTTCAAATTGGGAATCTATCAAGACTAGCCTAGCTCGTTGTCAAAACGAGGGAATCGGTCCAATTTCTGTGGACTCGTCCATTTCCATAAGGGAACAAGGCTGACCGAACAAGGGGAGTTTATCAGTGATCTGGATGATCTATTTTTCTTTTTATTTTTAAAATTTATGTGGAACAATTCTCACTTGTGAGAATCAATCCGATTCACTTATTCAGACGACCGATTCGCTTATCCAAACTTATTTATCAAGCAAGTGGTTCGCCTTGCCGATCCAATTTTTTAGCCGTTTGGTCTCTTCACCCGCAAAAGGAGTATATCTTAATTGAGAGAAGCGAAAATATAACATAAAGATAGGGTTGACGAAGGGTCAGACGCTCCCTACTTTTAGCTCGGCCCTTGTCGCAGTGGACCCAAGACCAAATCTGGCGTAAGAGGCCTGAACCATATTAGGGTTGGGGCTAGACCGGATTGAGCCAAGCCAAATAACATTTAGAAAAATAAGGGAAAATTATAGGTACCCTAATTGGATTTTCTAGACAACCTCTCCCAACCCCATAATAAATTTTCATAGCAAATACTCATCAAGTCAAAAAGTCATAGTTTTTTGAGCCAAAATACCTTTCTTTTAGTTGTTGAATGTCATCGGTTCAACAGTTGTTAAATGCGGTCAGACAACATGGGTCATACAGTCTGGCGATACAATCCGGCATTATGTTCCATACAGTCTGGCAATATTTCTTGGGTCCAGCAATTCCTAAAGCAGTCTCGCAGCATATTTTGTTGGTCCGGCGCTATGACGCTTCGGTCTGGCATAAGTTGTACTCAGTCCGGTGGTTAATGTGGTATGGGTTCCAAGCAGTAATGACCATATTTGGTGATTGAACATATGCAGGAATGTGACGCCTTCATGTAAGAAGAAGGTATTTTCATCTTCCAAACTATGATTTTTCACTTGAGGGGTCTTTGTTATAAAAAGTAGTTTTGGGTAAAAATTACCCTAAAGAATTGATTGGGAGAGGTTGTAAAAAAGTTGAATCGAGAGGGGCTTTTGTAATTTTCCCAAACAATAATGAAGAATGGAGGGTTGGACCAACCCTCTCATAGCCCGCATCAGCCCGATCCGCCCTCAGGTTGTGGTGGTCTAGCCCTTGCCCCGCCCGTCGGCAACCCTTTGTGGCACAGGCCCTTACACATTGCCAACAAGGAAGGTTGTTGTATGTATTGTACATTACATATGCGTATTCAACGTCAAACCTCAAGACATACTATGTAAATGCACTATTTGTCTGCATGGATTCATGTTCTCGCCCAACTTTGGAATTGATAGATCTCTCGCATTTGGTCCTATGGGTAATGACTCTCCCTCTGCATTTTACTAATGCCCCGGGGTGTCTTAAACTGAAGACCAAATATCCTTCCTCTTACTTCTCCTGATCAAACTTTGTCCTTTCAATTTATTATCACCTCGAAAGAAGTGTATCAAATTCAATGCAAGTATCCCACTCTACATTCTTTTTGCGTGAATTACCACTTTACATTCATTTTAACCACAATCGACTTCCACTACAACCCATCAATGGTCTGCTGCCAAAAGATTATAGAAAAAGTTTATATAAGGTTGCAACCATGTAGAAATAAAGATGCACTTTAAAAATCCATCGGAAATGGTTGTTTTAATGCTGAAAAATTCTCTAATTGATCATCTTGACATTGAGATATATGAATATGAAAAAAAAAAGATTGAGTCTGAGAAATAATGCATCTTGTAACACATTATCTAGACCGTCCATTTTCAAGATTTCATATGTACATGGATCTACCTGATTTTAACCAATTTTGAAATTTAAAATTTTATAATTAAATATAAAAGTAGATTTTCAGATGATCCTAAAAAACCTTTACACCAAATTACAAGTTATGATAAAATTTGGAGATACGCCTTAATTGGATTGTTTATGATCGCAACCGCACCCAAATATTATAGGCTCTTGAAAGGCCATATTTTTGGTGTAGCAGTAGCACTTTATCTTGGATTTTACCCAATAAAGAGTTATTTTTGGAATCCCAAGCTTTGGGGATAAAACCTCCTCAACCTACCGACCTACCTCCAAAAAGAAAAAAAAAAAAAACTTTATTTTCTAGTTAGCTGAAAATAATAATGTCATCAGATTTGAGTAGACCTTCCAATTTATGTTGAGCTTTAAGGGTTTACAAAAACTCAAAAAACAAATTTCTTTTTTTTTAAGAATAATAATTGATGGTTCAAAAATGTACCTCAAAATTTCTAATCAGATCAGATAAGTCAGCATTCTAGAATTTCTTTTATTAGTATCCAACTACTCACCCAACTATTGTGGGGTTCTCTCTAGCCAGAACTAGGCCGATCACTTGCCGAAGTTGTTGGACTGGTTCTAAAAAGAATAAAAAAGAGTATTAATACTTTTAAAATATAAAGTACATTAAAAAAGTGAATTTATCACATATTAACAATGTAACACTTTATCCATTTCTTTTGGTTTAATTTCAAAATACCGATAA